CCCAAGCCACATTATAAGCCCATATGAAAGTCCTTATCTGAGGGTTTGAAGCTTTCTATGTCAAGGGGCATACATTTAAAAAAAAAAAAAAAAAAAAAGGAGACATCAAAGCTCCAAGCATTGACAGTGGAAAACTTCCTTCTTCTAAGCATAAGAGTTAGTTCATGAAAAGGGGAAAGAGTTGAAGTGTCAACATTCAAAAAAGGAATGAAATTCTCTCTCATTGACTAAATGACTAATGGGCAGAGTTGCAAAAGAAAAGATGATCTGAAGCAATGATTTATGGTCTAAATATCTTGTAACCCATTACATCAAAATCTTGTGTTATTAGCTAGACTTATTTTTGTCACTAAAGGAAGTTGACCATTTGATTATCCGGCCCTTTCTTGAATTTGGTGGAATCAATCTTTATTATTATTTTGTTCGTGTTTTACTCCAACCTTGCCTTTTATTCAGTATTGGGAATATTAGTTGAATATGATACATTTATTTCAGTTAATATAATTGTCTATCTAATCAAAATCTCTTGATGACTTTGAAAGGTTGGATGAGGATTATAGGGAGAAAGGAAGCCCAATTCGATAGCTAAGGAGTCATCCATGCTAGCTGAAACTTCAATAGCAAATGAAAGTTCAACTTATTGGGGCAATATTTTCAAATATCTCCTCATGGGAAACAAATGAGATTCTACCTCTTGCATTCAATAGGGCATTCGTGAATGTGAATCTTTTGAACTGCCACATAGGGATAATCATTGATTGATGAATGTGCAACATGAAAGACACAGGATTCTAGTCAAATCTGGACATCCAATATATTTAGGGAAGTTTCTTAACCTCTCTTCATTCTACCTTATCTTATACATGAAGATTGTTTCACTTGCATATGTTTCATGGTTATGGATCTTTTAATCATTACTTTCATCTAGTCTTTTGGTTGCATTTTACACTCATTAGGCCCCGATACTCCACTTTTTTTCAGTCATTCAACTATACTGATACTCTACTATTCCGGTCATTCGACCATACTCATACTATATTGTTACAGTCATTCGACTATACTGATACTCTATTGCTTTAATCATTCGACCATATTAATACTCTACTGTTTCAATCACTCAACCATACTCATACTCTACTGTTCCGGTTATTTGACCATACTAATACTCTATTGTTTCTCGACCATACTCATACTCTATTGCTCTGGTCATTTGACCATACACATACTTTGTTGTTTCGATCACTCGACTATACTCATACTCTACTGCTCCGGTCATTCGACCATACTCATACTTTGCTGTTATGGTCATTCGACCATACTGATACTCTACTGTTCCGGTCATTTGACCATACTTATACTCTACTTTTTTTGGTTCATTCGACCATATTGATATTCTACTTTTTTCGGTCATCTGACCATACTCATATTCTACTTTTTCGATCACTCAACCATACTGATCTTCTACTTTTTTAGTCATTTGACCATACTGATACTCTATTTTTTCGGTCATTCGACCATACTCATATTCTACTCTACTTTCTTGGTCATTCAATCAATTTGTACTTTACTTGTTTAGTCATTCAACCGTTGTGGTTTCTTAACCGTTTTCATTTTACTCGTTTGGTTATCCGATCATTGCGGTTTCCTAACCATTTGTACTTTACTTGTTCGGTCATCCAACCGTTGTAGTTTTTTAATCATTTAGGATTAGCTTGTTTAAAACCAATTCATCTAAGATCAACTCAGCTAAGATCAGCTCATTTGATATCAAAACCATTTAAGATAAACTTGTTTAAGATCAAGTTATTCAACTGGCTCAGTCGTTTGACTCTAGCTACTCAAATTGCTCGGTCATTTGACCGTAGCTACTTAATTGGCTTGGTCGTTTGACTATAGCTACCCAACTTGCTCGGTCGTTTGACCGTTGCAATTCAAATTTTAAAGTTAACTCATTTAAGATCAAATCATTTAAGATCAACTCACTTAAGATCAACTCATTTAAGATCAAATCATTTAAGATCACCTCACTTAAGATCAACTCATTGAAGATCAAATCATTTAAGATTAACTCACTTAAGATCAACTTGTTTGGTCATTCTACCATTGCGGTTATAAAACTGTTTTCATTTTTTTTGTTCAGTCATTTGACCGTTATGGTTATAAAACCATTTTTTACTTTGCTTGTTCGGTCATTCGATCATTGCGGTTATAAAACCGTTTTTACTTTACTTGTTCGGTCATTCGACCATTGCAGTTTTTTAATCGTTTTTACTTTATTTGTTTGGTCATTTGACTGTTGTGGTTTTTTAACCATTCTTACTTTACTTGTTCGGTCATTTGATCGTTGCAGTTTCTTAATTATTTTTACTTTACTTATTCAGTCATTTGACCGTTACGGTTTTTTAGCCGTTTTTAATTTACCTGTTCAGTCATTCGACGCGTTTTCCTTTACCTGTTCAGTTTATTTAAAAAAAAAAGTTAAAAATTTGAGTTATTCTTATCTTGTCTTTTCTTTTCTTTCTGTTAAAAAAGAAAGGAAAAGATAGGCAACTGTCATAACTCAAAATTTAATAGAATTTTATTTTAATTTTATCTTTATTAATCTACCACGCCTTTGTTTTCCTTGTTAGGTTTATGAACAAAAGAGG